TACATATCTCTGTCAATGAGGCCTGTGTTGCCCAGGCCGCAGTGGTGGCCGCACTTCGTGTGGAGTGTGCTGTGATGGGGCTCGGTGAATGTGTGACCTGGGACTGGTAGGCCGTAGCAATGCAGGTTCTCAACCACCTGCCTATGGTGGTGGAGGTCACCTTCTTGCCCAGAGACCCCGGTTGGAATGAGACACAGAGAAGTATGGGGAGCGGCGGAGCGCTCCGGTGCCGCTGTAGCCTCCGCAGCAGGGCTTGCCTTTGGAAGCCTTGTGCCCTTTGTTTCCTGCTTGCCCGGCAGATTTCTTTTTCTGAGTGATACTTGTCTCACTGGGCAGCATGCCGCCCCAAGGGGGGTTTTGACAGGCTTTCTTGCCACTCAGGGAGCTGTCCAGCTCGCTTGCGGCTACTGCTCTAGGGAGAAGAATTAATTCTATTTCTTTCTTTAAAATTATTTCCAAATTATCAGAGATCCAGAATGGCAAACCATCCAGTTGAGGGACTGAGTCGATAACTGGGCGGTGCCTGGTGGATCAGGGATGTATACCAAGAGCTTACCTGACTCAGTCCAATCAACGAGAAGATAAGGTCAACCCATCCTGGATACTCCTCCCCTCACTATGGAGAAAGTCATGGCTACCTTAAGGATGTGCAGACAAATGCAGCAAATCACACATTCACACCCGCTCCAAAGTGCTTTTTTGCTTCAGACCCTAATACTAATGTTCTCAGTATTAGTAACTTCTAGTTTATGAAATTGCTCGGCATTATCCATGGGTATTGGGCAGTGGTGGGTTCTGGATCCCATTCCAACCATTCCACAGCTGGAACGGGCCCACATGGATGCGCGCATGCGTCTTAGCACCTCCGCGATGCTCTGGCTGTTCCGCAGAGCATCGCGCAGGAACTGTATGCGCCATGCGCATGTGTGCAGAAGCCTTAAAAGACAGGTAAGGAGCTCAGGCGGGCGGGTGGGCCCTCCGGAGCACCATACCGGAACGGAATCCGGTGCTCCGGGCAGGTTCCAGTACGCTGGTACCGGGGCATACCGCCTGCAACCCACTACTGGTATTGTGGCTCTACTAGAACCTGCCTTCACAAAGTAGACCAGTAGAGAAAAAGCAGTCTTGACAATTAGGAATAATTAAGCTGGTTTATGCCAAGACCATTAGGAAGAATTAAGTTGCCATATAACAAGGTTAGAGACTTACAGCCACCGATCCACTTAAGTGATTGAGCTGGTTAAAAATGTTTAAAAAGCATTACAAACATTTAAGACAG